ATAGAAAATGTATGCAATAATAATATTTACTCAACATGTAGGAATTCAGAAAGCGATCAGTCAACATCAACAAGTATTATACATTATTATCAATGAAATGAGAGTATCATCATTACCATTAGCTATTAAATACAATAGAAGCAAATCTTGAATATAAACAAGTTGATGATCATAATACAGTAGCTGCATTATTAAAAGTTAACAAAGAGAAGATTTGCATTTCAACGACGTCTATACGATCTGTCCACGCAATGCTTTACTTTTGTCGGCGAAATTGAACTATATATTTAAGCAAAATAAATAGAACCATATTGTAGAACAATGTCGATAGCATGGAAAAACATTTTTATTCATCTATGTAACTTCTTATATCTTAAAGATAAAATTCTGTTAAAAGGGTAATAAACAGAAGCAGTGTAAACCAATATTTACTATTAGTTTTTATTTTTCTTATGTTTCATATAAAAAAATTTAGTTTTTTTCGAAACCGGTGACGTACTTTAAAACTGCTGTGAATAGGTTCTTTAGCCATGATAAGAGTTCTAAGTTTTTTTGCTTCCTAAGAAAGTTATTTACAATTTAGAAACATAGTTCATTCATGCACGTAATTCCGTCACGATAATACTTCGCAATTCATTTTTTTTTTAGATCAAATCAAGATATTTCTGATTCCATGACAGCGTGCTCTAATATTACTTTCTTACACTCCGTCCAAAGAACACCATGGTTTTTTTATGAACATCTCGGTTTCGTTAAGAATGGTTTGTCGGAATCGTCGTCGGATGATTAAGTACTTTTTCAGCAAAAAGAAATAGAAATATTATTTTTCTCTTTTATTGTATTTTAGACATATGTTAACATAAGAAAAGATATTTCAAAATCCCATTGCCTAATGCTGAAGCTGGTTTATGACGGTTTCGAGCACTTATAATTATCAGAATGTGAGACTTCATTGGAATCGTCAATTTTCGTATATACATGATGTTTTCATAATAAGATGATGTGCAACGGTTTTTTTTAATTACTTTTGCTTTTTCACGAAAGATAGTAATTTGTATAAGCTGAAGGGCTATATTAAACTTTTTGAAAAAGACAAAAATTGAGAAAATATGACCATATCTCAAAACGTGATTTCGTCACGAAGTCTTTTCGTTTTTCAAAAGTCATTTTAATGCATTTTTCAAACTTTCTTTTTTCATTGCTATGGCAGGTCATCTATGCTACAATTGTCCTACAGAAAAAACTTTTCATTGTAGTCTTAGTTGAACTAAGCTTTCAGTTCTTTCCGCAAGACTCAAACCTGTGGCGGTTCATTTACGTGATACCATCACAAGAATATGTAGCTGTGAATTTCCTATTGATTAATACTGATAGACACATCTACGCCCAAATGGCATAACTTTCGATATGCTTCTTCAATAGTTTATATTTTTGTTCTTTCATCATAGCCTATACTACTATCCGATTCGATTGGTCAATATTACAGATAAATCATTTCAAACAAAAAAGAACGTGTGATATCGATAATCGGAAAAGAAAGAAAAACACGGTCAGTGTCTATTACAAATGAAGCAATGTGATATAAGTCATTAACAAACAGAAAAGAACAGCGCATGTTGAGTGTCTGTTTTTTTTCCAATTGTGCAACGGCATTCGATGTAAGAATTGGTTGTGGTTTAGAAGATGATGGATAACTAGGAATAAAGGAGACATGCAATGAAAATTGCTATCTATATCATGCAACACGTAAAGTCGTGACAAAAAGATAACACGTGGTGTTAATCGCTTTCAATGAAAAAACAATGTGCTATCCATATAATTGTATGGAATATAAGGCCGAGAGCAGATGAAAGTGAGACGCAGCAGTTCACAAACATGCATTCCAAAGAAAGACAACTCTACTATGTGTCTGATGTTTTTTTCTTTCATAGGTTTAGTGGCATCTGTTCATATGATCTTAACTATAACTAATTTCGAACTTTTTTTAAAACTTTCTTTAACAAGCTTTCGAATGACTTCATCATTTTATGTTATTCAACTCGGACTGTCGTTATTGAAACGAGCAATTTCAGAACGTCAATTCGTATAAAATTCATCAAGTTCAACAACACTTGCAATTTTTATTATTGCATTGATGATTTGCATGGAGCACTTCTGTGAACACTCTTTAGATTAATACTGTATCGTGTTAATCTATAGTGCATAAAAAATGTTCGTTTTTTTGTCTTTTTCACTAAACAGAAAATATGAAACATGCACAATTAACAAAAAGAAACACCAATATGTTGAGTAAGCAAAGATATAGATGTGGGCGGAAACAAAATATAACAAGACCGAAGTTATCGTATTCCACATTGAGTGGAATAGAGACTTATTCTATTTTCATCTACTTGTCTCCCTTATGTTCAATCGTCAATTGTAAACTAGTCAAGTATAGCAACAGATTTTTCACACTTGAAAACTTCATCCGGTCTACTGTTTTCATCATGGCTTGGGCCTGTCAATATGACGGTAAGAATAAATATGAACGTGAGAAAATTTCCGTTGCATTGATTGACATCTTCAATAATGCTTCGAATATTACGTTCACCATTAATCTTTTCTAAAAACTCATGCATAAGTACTTTTGAAAAAAATCTTGCGTTTAATTTCTCTATAAAACTCGGTTTTTCTGTTCGCTGAGCGTATATGACACTTTTTATTCTGTTTTATACGTTTTTATTAAGACTTTAAAAGCGATTATGTAATAGGTTAGAACTCAACATTTGTTCAAGATTCATGAAAATAGTGAATTAAATCGATCTAAACATCTAACTCTCAACAACATCTCCCTCATTAATCATCAATGATATCATCTTTTCATACTATGTTTATTTATTATTTATCATTTCATTGTATCAACAAACTAAAAAGGTAATTCTTCATATTAGCAAAACATTAATCTTTCACTATCCCATCCCATTCTATTCATAAATTCATGAGAAACAAAATCATTTCACAATTCTTTTTATTTTTCGTTCTCAGTTATATATATATTCTATTATTCATTTTTTTTATTACTTGCTTTTGGATTAAAATGATAATCTAATAAATCAACAACAACAAAACTTGAAATATTTTTAGATAAAAGTTTAAGTATAAAATAGTTATTGCCTGTAAGATGTTCTTTAGCAAAACTAGTAATATGATCAGGATCATAATTTCTTCGATAAATAAGATGTGTTCGTACATAATGTTCACGTGTTTTATCACTACTAACAAGATAATGTATTAAATGTCCAATCCATTTCATTAAATCAATAAAGATAATAAATGCTAAGAAAATAAACCAAATATATAAAAAGACATACATTTTTTCAACAATTATATTTAATGGTAATATACATTCAACAGTATATGCATGATTTGATGCTAATTCACGAAATGTAAAATCACAAAGTGTTCGTTTTGGAAATGCACTTGTATCAATTAATTCAGATACACCTGAACTTATTTTATTTATAAATTGACCAATAAAATGTGTTTCAAATGTATCTTCTTTTAAATGTTGAAAACGATTTATACCAAATGGACGTGTACCAATCATAAAATGAATTAAACTTATTTGAAATAAACAATTTAACAAATATAATAATTTTACACCAATATAGCATATTATCAAATAACATGAAAATATACGACTATGATGATGAAGACTATTAGTAACTATATCACCATCTTCTCGAACAAATAATCGAGAATCTAAATAATCAAGTTTATTATTACGAAATTCTGTAAGTGATTTTTTCTTTCCAAAATTAGGTATAAAATATAATTCACTTGCATTATCTAATAAAGATCTTATATCATGTTGACTACCTGAAACAGCTAAACGCCAAATTAATTTTGGTAAATAAAACAGAACTGCTTGAAGTGCAAAAATCCATGGCTAACAAAAAGACAAAACAAATAATTAGTTATTTTTTCGATTATTGCTTTTCTTTCTTTTTTGACTAATACATACCAACCATTGATAATAAATAATCAAACCTTCATATCGTTCATTTGTAGTTGAAGGTACACGTTGATCATCTGGTACATAATATGTATTATTTGCAAAACAATAAGCTGTTATAGCTCTTTCATATCGTTTTAATTGTGCAGGTGTCCAACAAATAATTGGTACAGTATAAGATGATTTGACGCCACAAAACAAAGCAAATACACATAAAATAGCTGATGTAAATTTATAACTTAAACGATCAATAACAAAATCATCAGCTTTAGCGCGAACATTAGCAAATGATAAAACACCAGAGAAATTGTTCACTAGGTGTAATAAATCCATTCAAAACCTACAGTTGTCACAATAATAAATATATGTATAAATGCTCGTGTATGATTACCTCTTACACTGCAAGGCAAGTAGAAAATTTTTTTTTTCTTTCCTCGACACTGCTCTCACAGTGCTCCCTCGGCACATATGTGTTTGACTACTCAGGAGTCAGCAAAAAGAACAAATGAAGAAAAGAACGAATAAAAACTTGACGTAATGCTTCATACAATAAATCTGTATGTTATTTTATATGCATATGTGTATGCTCTATCAGTTACCATACACGTATTGCTATGCACAACAGTAAAAGAAAAAACGTACTTAAGTTTCTCTTTTCGTTTCTTACGCATCTATTTCATTAAGATTTTATTCGCTTGTCTTCTTTTTTCTCGCCTCCTCTCAAGTTTATCGTTCTCACACTAAAATGTATCAGATAAAACAAAAAAGAAACCATCAATAAGATGAAGATGTTCACATAACGTAATATGACTATCAATGTATGTTTGTCAGTAGACAGCAACATTGTTAATGTCATTTCTTTTTACCATTACACACTAAGATAAACACATAAGTTGCTTTATCAACAAAATGATTGCTAGATCTCATCAAGCAATCGAACAAAAATCAAATTTATTTTTCTATAATAAACATAAACAAAAGGAACAAAAGAAAAAGAAAACAAAATTTAGTATTCTTCAATTGTAGTTGAATGAAATATATTGTCGAGCCAATCATGTTGTTGTGATAGATCTTCTCGATCAAAATCTTGTGATTTATAATTGAGATTTTCTGTACTTATATTAAAAAGAGATAAATTTGGTCGAAGTGAATATCTTGAATAATCATCATCATCTTCCTCTTCAACATTCACACTTTTCACATACAGGTTTTCATGTACGATTTGTTTAAAATGATTTTCTTTCATCAAAGTTTGAATATGAAGAACATTTGAAGTAAATTTTGGTGGATGACGACGAGTTACAGGAGCACTTTGTGACATGAAATTAATATTCTAAAGAGTTAAGATAAGAATATTATAATAGAAGAAATTATTTAACTTACTTTCATAACAGTTTCTTTTGGTTTAACTTTCTTGTTATTTTTCTTTAATGTTAGAGAAGATTTTTTTGATGGAAGTAAAAGACTATGTGAAATATGAGAAAGAAGTTTTGATAATGAAGATATTGCTGACCATTTTTGATTTTTATTTGAGGACATGTTGAAAACCGAAATAATAGAACAGGCAATGAAATGAAATGACGTATATATATATATAGATAGATATGAAATTAAGTTACATGTAAGAGGTTTAAGTTAATTGTATATGAGAATCAAGAAGAAAAATAATAGATTCATTTTATTTAAATTAATGTTCTTATACTGTTTTAGAAATGGGAATATTGGCTCAATAAATTCACTATCATTTTGATCATCTTACGTAGACAATGTTCATATTCACTAATTAATAATAGACAAAAGAGAAAGAGAGCACATATATTAGTATATCCTGAGAATGAAGTAAGTAGAAACATCTGTATAATATCAGACGCCTGTGAGACATATTATATAATTCGGTGAAAAGTAAGAGAATCAATGGTACAGAGAATACTTTTATGATAACCGTACATCACAAATT